TGTCGCTGATCCATTTCTGGTACTGGGACACACGAGTGTAGACGGTAGGTCGACCGAGGTAATAATCATTAACATAACTCACAATCCCACTTTGGACCCAGATGGAGGCTTTTTTCGTCACAAGAGCAGCACCTTGTTTTTGCTAGGAAACAGATTAAATGAGAATGCAGATATTAGAAATTTTATAAAAGGTGGGTACTTTACAGGCCAGCCATAAAATGACCACGGTTATTGTTAATATGTTATAGTCAAAAAGGCCAAAAAAATAGAACTGACTAAAGTAAATTTCAGGAATTATTATTTTTTTTCATAACATCAAAAAGTACAACAGTAATGAATAGATTGAAAATAAAAAATTGTAGTTACATAATTTACAGGGTTTAATCCGTTCTCAATTCCACCACAAATCATGTTATCTGTTATTGGATTGAAGCTCTGGTAGTAGTAGTTTCTGTAGATGCAGCTGCATTTATTGTTCCCGAACACTGATACATCTACTTCATGGAAAGTAGGACCATAATAGCCTTGTCCTAAAGAAAAACAATAATAGAAAGTTTAATAAATTCGATTTATACAAGGAAGGTATTTTAAATGAAGCTGTTATAAAAAAATAAGATCTACCAGTACCAATGAAACCAGCGACCCAGCTGGCAGTTCCATCATAGAAAGTGCTATCTTCTGAGGCCAAGCAGACCGGTTGGATGTAGTCCGTGAAGTTGACAGGAGCTGACAGCTTTACAAGACAGATGTCGTTCTCACCGTTATCATAATGAGATCCATAATCTTGATGGCAGACAATTGAGTCAACTCTACGAGTTACTTCCCCAAATCTTGACTGGTTGTTTGCACCCAAGTTCAATACTGCACCACTGAGGTAAGATCTTAGAGAAGAGAGAACAAACTATTTTGAATAAATGTAATGCCACTGATTATCACATTAAGTAGAAGCTTATTGTCTACCTCTATTGCTTTCAAATCAATAATTAATAGTTGGAAATCAAGTTTCACCCCATTTGCTTCACTCACATAGTGAAATATAGCGCCGTGTGAAATCTAAAGAGCAGTTTGACTAAATCTATTAATACATTTTTTAAATGATAATTCAACATATTTAAGAAACAAAAATGTAAAGTATAACTGATAGGGATAAAATAATGAAACAGGACAATTCAATAAAATATTTTCAAATATATTACCACCTGTTAAGTCATTATGACAAGCAAAAATAACAAACCACAGCTGCTTACCTTAATGAGCAACTGGCAGCCGTCAGAACCCACTCATCTGTGATCAAAGAGCCTTGACAAAAGACTCTGCCACGGTCGGTAAGAGTGACATGCCAGGGCCAAGTTCCGGGAGAGGCATCTTGCACTTCTAAGATCCCGCTAGTGATTAGAGACCTGGCACAGGCTGAAAACATTCACATAATCAGAAACAAATGTTTATCATGTTATTTTTTTATTTACTAACTAAATATAGCTCTTTAATTTGAAGCTATTTACTTTTCAGCTACAGGACATATTACATCTGCGCATTTTATTAAGAATGTACTACCCATATTTTTCAACAAAACTACTCCATACTAATATTAAGTGACTCATATAGGCATGTTTTATTTTGGAAGAAGCTCAAACTTTTGCGTATTTTACTGAGCTTTATATGATAGACCAACAATATTGTTGTATAGGAAATGGATTATTAAATATGCACATGATATTGTACTAAGTCAATTATTAAGTTAGATTCTAAAAGAGAAAGTTCTAAACACATCTAAAGCTGATGTTGGTCACAAAAAACTGACATTAGTTATTTCAGTGCCTATAATGTGTAACCTACTTCAAATCCGTCCCCCCCCCACCCCCCACCCCCCTTTTCACTTTTCTCTTCTTTGCTTTATTTAATTATAGCTCTATAATGACTGTGATATTTGAACATTTTATTTCATCAAGGCCAGAAATACGCAAAAAGGGAGTTGAGGTGTCATTACAAATAATATAAAATGAATTTAATATAAATATTGAAAATGCTTACAGGCAAACAAGTGAAAGCTGTTACAACTCAAAAGGTGGTTATAGGGAAGAGAGAGGCACGAACAAACACATGGTAGCTTTCTAACCATAGAGAAAAGTCCTTCCTTGTTGCAACAACCTTCACTTTTATTGAAATTTCATATAAAACCCCAACAAAATAACACTGAGTTTTTCCCATGTAAAGACATTTAAAGCATCTGAATACTTCTTTGAGGAAGTAATACAGACCTATTCACGTTTTTACCTCTTAAAAAATATCTAAAATAGTAGTATATTGTTTATTCTTGTTCTCCACAGCAACAAAAAATAAATTACAAGGAAATGCAGCGATGTCTTTCCTTCATGTTTTTCAGCAGTTTTCTAAAACTAGGAAATAAATGTTGGGTACTTACCAGGTTCTGAATTAATTCCTGAAATGTATATACACATACAAATAGGTTAGACAAACTGGTCAGGTGAGATATTCCACTTTATGAGACAAAGGCACAGATAAGGGAACTGTCAAAACTATCATAAATGCAATAATAAGACATAGCTGTAGATTTAGGTCTCCATGTCTTTATAGCTGAGTAGTTTAAATGAATTAGTTGCCAAATATGCATCACACTCTTAGTAAGCAATAACCAAGCCTGGGCTAGAGCCTAGCAAACAAAATGTTACATAACTTCAAGACACTGGGTTTGTCAACACCTTCTTTATGCCCTCTGCAACAGGAATAATTTTTTTCTTGTTTGTGAAATACATTTGTTACTACAATCTTTTTTTTTATTGATATATTTTCATCATGGTGTACTTCTAAAAAAACATTGTTGTACCATTGAACTAAAATATTGCACATTGTTTTATTTATCCTGGTATTCAAGATTTCTGATCACAAAATGGTGGAAATCTCACATACATTAGCAACTATTCAAAATGGCCCTTCCCGGTCAAAGGCAAGCTGAATGGCAGCCTACTCCCCTCCAACTCCCAGTGAAATCCCCTCCAACTTCCAGCCACTTGAGTGACCCCTCTTGCATATTTCTTTATTCACTTTCACTGAATTACAGGGTCTGACCAGGAGATAACGCTCTTAATGTCCACAAATCTTGACAGAAAGAATATTTTAGTACAAATATTGATGTTTAAAAAAAAATATTGTGGGGGATCAGCCAAGGGTCCATCAAGAAAAGTGGGGACATTTTGAATGGCTACTACTGTATGATGTAGCTTTTCATTTCAGAACTTTCGAAATCACACCCCATTATAACTGATTGTGGTTCTGATCACTAACAATTCATAGTATAACATGAAAGTAAACAACTTCTGAATTAACTCATGCTGACTATGAGATTGGAGTAATTACTGCAAAGCACTTGTTGTTAAAACAGGTAGGATGTCTGCAACACTGATACAAAATAAAAGCAAAAATACAAACAACAAAATCATTACAATAGATTCATCCATTTACATTAGCTTTAAGTGTAACATTGTTTCATTTGTCTTTTCCAGGGTAGTGTACCATGAAAACAGGCTACTGTACCATGGAAACAGGCTTTTAAAATCGATGTGGGTTAAGTTAAAGTAAAGGAGCCCAGTTAACTAGCACAGTTAAGCTAAAACTGTTTCATAACTCATTTAAAATCCAAGCTTAAAAATTTCAAGAAAAAAAGGGTTTTCACAGCAGAACTAAAACACAAAGGACAATTTCAGTCATTACATGCAGTGTGCCTTGACTTAATTAAAGCAAAGAGTAATATAAATATAAAGTTATTTTTCTCACCTCTGGAGAGGAGAATGATCATCACAGTGATGCCACATGCATACTGATGTAGAGCCATTTTGATCAGTAAATTGTTTCTCTCTTCTTCAGCTATAAATACTGTTTTTTTGGCTTTAGCTCCACCCAGAATAAAGAGGAATTTAATAATCTGTTCCTGTCACCCAGTATCTTTCACTGGCTTGGGAAGAAGAAATGTGGAATGAATACAAACTTGTCTCTCTGGATAATTTTCGTTAGTAAATGCTTTATAAACTGCATACTCATAACATTTGAAGGAAGTAGTTTTTGTAGTCAAGGAAGAAACCTCAGAGAAAACTACACACAAGAGGCTCACTGTCTTAATAATAGCTAATCTACTTAGTCTTTTTAGTTCCACATAATTACTAGCTATGAGCAGGGCTGAAACTGACAAACAATTCCCTAGCTCAGAGGTGAATACTGAGACCAAAATAACAGGAAGAGCGGGTTTTCCTCTTACATTTGAACTCTGAAGATTTATAACTTTAATCAGAAGATTATGCAACAAAAAGATGCACAATTTCATTTTTTGGGGGTTTTTTTTGTATATTTTTCTTGTATTTTTCGCTGCTATTTAGCCCTCCTATGATCCTGCAGATGGTTAAAGAAATGGCAAAGACTTAAAAATAAAAATTTGATTTAGGCTATATTTTTAACAAAACTGAATAAAATTAATCTGAAGTTGTGTCCTTCAGTGTGTGCACACGCTCTTTTCTCTGCTCCCTGCTTGCTTGCACTTTCTGGTCCTTTTCTGGTCCTTTTATCTTCTTTTTATCTCTTAACCAAAACTACAGAAAGTTGGATTTAGTTATTTGATTCATTTTCTTTTATTTATTTTTAATATTTTTTTATTTTTTATTTTTCCCCATGTGGACTATTTTAGTTTTCAGCTATTCCACACAAGATGCCTCTCTACAACAGCCCAGAGGAGGCAGTTATCATGAAAAACGCTCTTATGGAAAGACTTCAACACGAAGTGGATATGGAGAAGAACCACCCGATTCAAAGGATGCCTACCTTCAGCACAGAGGACTTTGATAAGCTTCTACAGAAAATAGCTATCATGGAACTGAAAATCCACCAACTTGAAGTAAACTATGATGTAAACACCGCTTATGGTAATGAAACAATGCTGCCTGTGATTCCGAAGGGGGACCACCAGCCCAGCAACTCAGCGAACAAACAGTTCCCAGAGGAAAATGAGAATCCCTGGACCACTCTGGGTGCTAGACCAAAGGATCAGTGAACCCCCCACCTAGACACAGAAAAACTGGCCGAGACCACAGAGAGATGTCCCAAGAAAAGTGAAACAAAAACGGGATGTTCTCACAACAAATGATAAGAATAAACCTGCTGGAAATGTTGGAATTCCGTTACAAAACAGATTTGCTCCACTCCAAGATGAGACCCAGAAGGATCACAACGTATCAATTTGACTGTATGATCTGGTTGAACTGTAAAGTGCCTTGAGATGACATGTGTTGTGAATTTGGCGCTATATAAATAAACTAAATTGAAATTGAATTGAACAACAATCAAAGGTATGTCAACAATCTTCACTCTAAGCTACCAGAAAAAAAACAGGCCAATGGGCCAAAGACCCTGATATTATGCAATGGATCTATAAATAGGATTAAACATTTCTGTAACAAGAAAAACACAGAGGTGTTGATTTATACCCCTTTGAACTTTGGCCTGGAGTCTAATGTATCAGACATCCTTCCAGAGATCATGAAAAAATGCCAGACCTTGGAAAAACTCATCATACAAGCTGAAGCCTTGGGTGACACAGCCCTGAGAAAATTAGAAATACTAAAAGAGGATTACATTCATCTGCTAAATTTAGTTGATGGTCTTAATGTCAAGGTGTTTCTCAGCGGCCCTCACGTGCACATTAATTGTGGAGATGAAATGTTTTCCAGTGTTCTGATGTTAAACAAATGGCTGGATGCAACATGCAAGCAAACAGCTGTAACGTTCATAGACAACTTTAACATCTTTTGGGAGAGGAGACATCTGTTCAACAGAGATGGTTTCTCTCTAAATAGGTCAGGGGCAAAATGGCTGATATCAAAGATTTTATATTCTGTGAACCATGCACCATCAGCTTTGTTCCAAAACAAAGCTCAACCAGTGCCTAAACAAACGATAAGCCCAGTACAGCCCGAACAAGCCAAGATAAAGATGGCCAGCAGGATGACACAGAAAGAGCCTACGTCAGAGCTACAGGAGGTTTCATCCCAGATCTCAGCAGGACAAAAAGAGGACTCCCCTTTAAATTCCAAAGAGAACCAAAAACCTCCATCCCCACAGACACCAGTCCAGACTGCACCCAATTCCCCCTCTTCCCCACAAAGTCCAGATGTTCCTTTTCTGGAATTTTCTCATAACATAAACAAAGTTTTCAAGATAGGCCTACAGTTGTCATCCTCTCCACATAGCCGTTCTGAAAACCGCAGCTATATGAAAAAACCAGCATCTTTTAAAAGCAGCAGAGCCCCAGATCCTCCTCTACATATCACGGAACGTCAGGACCTTCAGATAACTTCTCCGTGATACACACCGAGCCCTGGCAACAAGCTTATCAGACATAACAGTTTCCAGCATCAGCTTGGGCCTTCTACTGGACCTTATGGAATATCTGTGATGATACGTGGCAGAAATAAAGAAAACAAAATGGGAACAAACAGGAACAGACACTTAAGAGTCATAAACTGTCAGATGCAGCCTGCCAAAGAGACAACATCAAGCACTAATTCATATAAACTGGCTTTATTAAACATTAGATCTCTGTCAGGAAAATCCTTTTTAATTGACTTTATTATTGACAATAATGTTGATGTTATGTT